CTGCTTATCTATTCTAAAATTTATAAATACAGCAATTGTAAAATGAATTATAAGAAAAAAGACAAACAATTTTCCATTGTTGGACTTGACTGCTGTTGATAAACCTATCCCTTTCCTGAGTGAAAACTATTTTATTAGCGATTAAGGGTATCACATGTGTTGGTTTTCTTCTCCTTCATATGCCTCTGGATTTAAAACTCCCTAGAAATTCTAAGCATGCTTATATTTCACAAAATATAGAAACAAATATCTCTGTGAGGTTCAGTATTCATTCAGTCTCAAGGGTGTTGTGAAGTTTAAATTAATTAACGTCTGGTAATCAGTCTGAAATCCTCAGATGAAAGAATCTGTATGGGCCAAATTCTGATCTACCCAGTGTAGCTCACATTGAAAGTGGCCCCACTATATTCTGGTACAAAAGATACCAACGAATCCTAATAATTTATTATTATACTACAAAATCAGTTCAGTTTACAGTGCAAACCAGAAATTTGCTAACTGCAAGCACTGCAAATCCACAGCGGGAGTCGAAAGCCTTGGTGGCTTCCTTCTGCCTCCATTAATTAAGATGCTGCAATCAAAGCTTAGCTTATGACTTGTTAGTAACACATGAACTGGAAAGGAACCAAGATCCCCTCTGAGAGAGGTGACCTGTGCAGGAACAGCCTCAGACTAAAGTCCTCCTTAGAAGGACGGAAACAGATTTGGGCAGGTGCAGACCTGTCAAGTCTCATATATTGAGGGTGAGATTTAGACGGACGCTCCCCTCACGTTCCCTAACAGAGGGATGCCCCTCCCAGCAAATTCAATGGGCACTGTCCACCTGCGCCTGCGGAAAGAAAGGATGCTGTTTCACAGTTCTCATTTTTCTGACCCAAACTGTGCTTTAGATCCTAAACTACCAGAGAGGAAAATATCAAAAATTGCATTAAAATATCAGGCTCAGAAATTAGTAAATATGAACCAGTACTCGAGATGTTTACACATCACATGCCCAATCTGAGCATGTGTGACAGGTAATGCCTTCATCCTCTACAAGTTAGGGAAAATACTATTATCCCTTTTTATAGGCATAGAATTGATATACATTGTCAATGACTTCTCACAGGTAATCTGTAAGACAGTGAGGAATTCAACATGGGCCTTCTGTATCCTAAAGTTAAAACTATCTTTAAGAGTATGCCAAGAGGTGCATCTTCAGACTTCAACCCTGCTGTGCCAGGAAGCTAGGAATCCTCCTTGGCACACAAAAACGTTCTGTAATTCAAAGCCAAAATCCAAAGGCCATGCCAGTGGCACCACTTCTGTTCTCCTCACCATAAAGAGGTCTGCCAGGATCCTCCAGAATTAAGAAGGGGTAAAAACAGAGGCCAAAGTATTTTGCCAGGTCCTAGGCTCGCTCAGTGTTGGCTGCAACTGGATTAACCCATAGCAACCCTAAGACTGATTATTTCTTCCTTGCTCCCCTCCCATATTAATATCAACCAGAAAACTGATATAAAGGTCTATTAGGCCAAGTGCAAAAGCAGCGTATCTGAGGACTTGGCTGTATTCTTCAGTGTTTCCAAGAACAAACTAAAATTAAAAGGGAGGAGTTTACTTTTAATGATCTGTTTTTGTATCATGCACTTGAAAGAAGCCGTTCTTAGTTAAAGTTATCTGAAAATGAAGGGATATTTTGACCAAGGGAGAAGGGCAGAAGTAAACTCCCAAACTGCATAATTAGCTGACTATTCATTAAATTAGCACAAATCATCTAGCTATAACAGATATGTTTCATTTTGAATATTACAACAGTGCCCCCCAAAAGTCAAGAGACAACTTTAAGGAAAACAGACTATAAAACATGAAATAACTTGCTATCTACTATGAATTAATGTAAATATTATTTATTGCTATAAATTTTAACTGATCACTTTGCCCTAAAGCGTCAATTCCCAAAGGTGAGATTACACTGTTTTTCTATCAGCAATTCCCAGTTATGCTCAAACTTCTACAAGAAGAATCTTTTTCTGATTACAATGAGATCTAAGATTTAAACTAGGATGTTTTTCTCTCATGCATCACCAGTAGTAATAAAGGTTGTGGGTGTCCAAATGTTTCCTAAATGACAGCTGTGCATGTTAGGCTCCATTCAGTTTCTTCCCCCTATGTCACATCTGCATATCCCCTCTTAGCAATAATACTGCATTTTTTTAATCAATAGGTCTTAAGCTTGTTAGAAAGATGAGTCAGTATCAATATCCTATTATTATTCCTACTACCTTCCAAAGATTTGTGTAACTCTTGAGAACTTAAATAGACCATTCTGACAGTAATGAATGAAAAGAAAAAGAAATTAATCTCTCTCACCTACATTCATTTACACATCTACAAAGAATAAAAGTTATGACAAATACAGCAGACAAAATTCTAAATCCCCAGTGAAACACAGCTGCTGAGTAAGGTGATGCCTTTGTCACAGAATTTATTTCAGGATAGCACTGCACGTTAATAGCAAAAATGGATAGCTCTCTAAATGTCTGTGGATAGTCAATAGGAAAAACCCTATTGCTATGAATAAAATACATAAATAACAGATATCAGAGTCAGGATCACAATCTTGGTAAACTCTAAAAGAGGAAATTACTAAAACAGTAGATTAAAATGAACAAATATGTACAGTCAGCACTAAAATGCACAAGAGCAAAATGCTGATATGTCCTATATACTCTCATCTATCTTACCATTTGTTGATAAAAGTGAGTGAGCTGCATTTTGCTGTGGTAACCACTTGATCTTGTTTATTTTTTCTTCTATCTCCAAGCTCTTCAAATAATCAAATTCAGGTTCATGGCTCTGGAAAGTGCTGTAAACATTGTACTCCCCCTGATTGTAAGGCTCATTTTTACTCTATGGAGAATAAGAACAACAAAACCATGTGGTTTATGATGGCAATATATCTCCATCTCTTAGGAAAGGTGTATAAGCAGCCTTATAAATATAAAAATATTGAAAGTGTAATTTAATTTCTCATTTAAAACATGATATTGACATATTTGTTTCTACAGGAATGAAATTTCCTGTAAACGTTGAAGCAACATTTAATAAAAGGCAGAATTTTTGCAGGAATGTCAATTATTCAGGAAAGCTTTCTACAAAATATACTGCTGATGGACTGAATTTAAAAGTGAAACATAAAGGTATCACAGCAAAGACATTGTTTAAATTGAATGGTTCCATCAAACAGGCAAAAGCTATTAAAACAATGTAGAAGTAAAACAAAAACAACTTTCTTTTTTCTTAGCTTAGAATTTTGGCGCTTTGATGCATTTTTGTTTGGGACAGCAAACTTCTGAGTAAAAGACCGTTACCCTCTTTCACTTCCTCTCCAAAGAGGTGACATTCTGTTTTACTGAATCTTGAGATTATAGACAAGTTTGTTACATCCAATTAAAGTATTAAAAATAAAGCCAGTTTTCAGCAAGCTATTAAGGACTACATTGGTAACTCACATACCTCAGGTTCCCTTTGGAATATAACAACCCGACCCCCCTTGTCACCAGTAGCCAGCAGTTCTCCAGTGTGGTTGAACTCAACTGTAGAAATAATATCAGCTGGAGGGAAAAAGAGAAAAACAGCAGATTTTAGACTGCTACTACAACACGAAGCCATTGGAAATATCAAGTGCTCCACAAAAAATGCAACAAATGAGGGATTTGAAGGAATACAAATGAATTCAACAGCAAGTCACTAACGCAAACAGGCTGCATGCCATTACAATCTGAGGTTGCTACACAATGAAACAAGTGCAAACATAACGAGGCAAATTTGTGTTTCCAGCACATCTGCAGTCTGGGAGTGGAGGAGATCTCTGGAGAGGTTATGCTTCAAGAAGGGCAATCTCAGGCTGCTACAAAGCCTTTTTCAGTACTGGAGATAGCAACAGCATTGGCCTCCTGCTATTTCCTCTAGCAAGGACCAACATAACATCTCAGTCCTGTTGCATGTATTATTTATTCTTCACCCTTTCAGAGGGTTTTAATATAACCCCCTAGCACTAGTTTTCTCAAATATGTGTTTGAGCCAAGAGTGCAAAAGTGAAGTACATGTAGCTGGCCCTACCACAGAGGAATGAAGGCAAAACCAGAACTGCTCACTGTGCAATGCCGGCAAGAGCCCATTCAAATCATCATTTTCGGTAAATTATTTCAGCACCATAAAAATGTGTCATCAGAAGATAAAAAGATTTCAGTCTCTTCTTTTTCTGATTTTCAACAACTCCCTTCCCCTAAGCAATTGCATCAGCTTAAACAAGAAACCTCATCAAAACCTGAGGCCGGTCTTGAGTACAAATTACTATACATCAGGATGAGAAGGGAGAAAGAGACTGTAGGAGCAAAAGAACTGGTTCTTCTGTTTGTGTGACAGTAAATGCTAGAATCATAATCCACAGTTAATCCTACACTATTAGCATAATTTAAATTAAAATGCCTAGTGCAATAGTAAATTAAGAAGCCATCATATATACAATCACAGACAAATGCAGGGTATTACTCAGAGATTGCATGTATGAATCCTCTATAATGATCAGCATTCACTCATCAGAAACATGGGCCAGATTTTTAGAAGCGTCAGTAGTTAGCAGCTCCCCTTTAGGCATAAAAAGCTGTGGTTTTCAAACACGTTCATCATCCATCAGTTTATACTGAGAACAATGAGGCGACAGCGGGCTAAGCTGTTTTGAAAACCTAGCCCCAAATGAGTTCACTAAAATTCAAAGGAATTGAAATAACAAGTGGGTGTACCACTTACTTGATACATTTTATGAACTGAAAACATCTGTTCCTATTATCCTTTTAATAAACTAGCAGTTGGGTGTTATAAAGCTTCTATTACCAGTAGCTCTCATCAGTAACACAGCCATCCAAAAGCCAGATTCTTACTGGAACGTTACAAACAATTCACCATCTAAAAAAGGAAAAGTTTACCCTAATCATGGTAGAGAAAAATATCTTTTAATTTTTTTAGGAAATCTTCACCATCAAATTGTTCTGTCTAAAAAAAACCAAGAAAACCAACCAACCAAGCCTTCCTCTCTTTTTCCTCAATGCACTACATATATAAAGGAGGAACGGGGAATCATGAAGCATGTATGTTGTTTTCTTTCTTGCTGAATAAAATGTATGGATGTGTAGACTTTGAGAAAAATGGAACATGATGACTTACAATATTTCGGATCTGAGTCCAAAGCTTCTCAAAGTTAATGGCTTTTGATTTTTATGTGGACTTCCACAGACTGTGTATTTTACAGGTAATAACCCCCAAAGCCCTAGTCTTACTAGAGTACAGGAAGAGTAGAGAGACTCTGCTTACGGCTGGTGATGCTCTGGGGCTTGGGATGGGTTGACTTTGATCCAAAAAATCACTTTTTTTTTAAATTTAAAAATCTAATAAACTTTTCTGCCATGTAAAGTTCATTTGTAGTGCTTCCAGTGGAAGAACATTTCTTGGCTATTTTGTTCTTATTCTGCAAAATTCATACTGATAGTATGTGTGGGCTCCTGCTTATAAAATGATACCTGCATAATTTTACTCATTTAAAGCTGTATCTTACCCCAACCATACAGGCAGAACTGCAGAAGTCTCATACTGACAGTCCTTTTAGAATGGAGACTCTTATCTTAAGCGTGCAATGGGGGAGAAGGGCAAATGCAGAGGGGAGGAATGTAATATCTATTAAAATACGTGTGTATTTGTGTGTGTATGCGTGCGCATGTGTAATGTATATGTGATTTTCTCACCAGGTCACAAAAGAATCAGATAAAATAACTGTGCAAAAGGAATGAATGACATTTGAACTTATATGTGTGAATATGCTAACTACTGGCCTGGAATACTTCCACAATGGCATCAAATACTCTTCTCTGTGGTCACAATGGTCACAAAATATTATATTGCACTTTACAGAGGGCATCAGCCAATGCCCAGTAAAGTCCACAGGAGTATCTGCACAGACTTCAATAGTAACTGAACCAGGTTTACAATAAAACAGCTCTGCATTTTGTTATTATATTGCATTTGTCGTTAAAATATTGTGTGCAGTTAAGTGATTATTGTTTAAAGAAAAGCAGCTAAAACATTAAATATCTGTGGGCAGTGTGTAATGATGATGTTCTGAGGCAAAATTCTCTCCCCCACAAGGTGTTTCTTCCAGATGCATCCCTCCTTTCTATTAGAAAAACTAATTCTGACCTGAAAACTACCTATCATTTTTAAATTAACTTGTTCTGAAAAAGAGCAGATCCAATATTCCGACCTTAGAGGCTATGCAGTTTGTTGGTAAAAAATTATCCTTGAATTGGAAAATCACTTTTATTGATCCTGTAAATAACAGCTGAAAACAACAGCCAAAAAAAAATAAATCTTATCCAACCTATCTGTTC